TGCCTGTTCTCTATCACACATTGACATTGACATTGACATTGGGGGGGGGTGACCATATATATATATATATATATTTATATTTATATTTATATTTATATTTATATTTATATTTATATTTATATTTATTTATTTATTTACCTATTGATATTTATATGCTAAACCCTACACCCTAAACCATATGTACACACACATATATGATCCTTTAAGTTCTTTACAATGGCCCTAAAGGTATCTCTATCGTACCTTTCAATGAAACCACTGAACTTCTTTGGGTTTAGGGCTTAGGGTTTAGACAGCATCTTCCCTTACAGCAACCTTTGTTGATATCTAAACCCCAGCAAGCAATAAAGCAACCCCTCAAGCAAGCCTTAAAGGAACTCAAAGGAACCCTTCAATAGAACCCCTATAGTAACTCCTAAAGGAAGCCTAAAAGGAACCTTAAGGACTCCTTTAAGGGATCTATAAGGGGGTTCCCTGAAAGGAGCCCTTTAAGGAAGCCTTGACCTCGCCGAGGAACCTGAACCAGGCTGCAACGGCTCTCGACCGGATCTGGTGCATCTATGAGGCCACCGAGTTTAGTGGTCTTAGGACGTATTTTGTGTTTTTGCTGTTTGTGCTTGGTTTTTGGTTTCTTTTATTATTATGATTATGTTTGTTCTTCAGCTTTTCGTAGATTGACTTTCAGTTTGTTTTTATGTTAATTTTCATCTGCATAGAACTTTGCGGGCTTATTGAACCATATGCTTTTGTTATGGTTCAAAGGGTGCTTGAGTTCACGATCGAGGGTTTAGGGCCATGGGGGTTTAGGGTTCAGGGGTTTAGGAATTTCAGGCTGGTGGGGTAGCAGGATAGGGTTTAGGGTTTATGGTGTTTAGGGTTTCAGTGGTTTGGTGCTTTAGGGTGTTAAGCATTCTATCAGGCCAGTTAGGGTTTAGGCTTTAGGGTTTTGAGGGTTTAGGGTTCCTGGCTTAAGGGCTGGATTTTATTAGAGATTAGGGCTTCGAGGGTTTAGGGGGTCAGAGGATCTAGGGTTCTGGGCCTTTTAGGGTTTTTAGAGTTTATGGTTCAGGGATGAGGATGAACGTAAAAGATTTCAGCATGCTCGATGTGCTTTTGTTGCGAAACTTGCTGGTCTTCCTGACATTCGTCTTCGGGTCGTGTTTGTTTGTCGGTTCTTATTGTGTTTCTGTGCTTCGCAGTTGCTGCTTTGTGGTCTTCCAGGCTTACGTACTATAGGAGCCTGAATACACATAATCGCGTTTTCAGTTTTATGTTGCGGGTATCCTTGTTATACTCGAGCTATCATGGGTATTCTAAGATGGCCCTATTCTTTTCGTGGTTTTTGTTGCCGTAAGACACTCAGGGCACCCCAGTACCCCTAGGCCTTCACCCCTAAACCCTCAACCATAACCCCTAAACCCTAAACCTCTAAACCCCTCAAGCCCTAAGACCCTGAAGCCCTAAAGCCCAAGTTTCGTGGTGAGGGCCCCACGGGCCCGAAGACGGGACCCCCTAAACCCCAAGCCTTAAAAAGGCTTAGCTTTTTAGGGATCCTTAAGACTTTTAGGGTTTATCGTATTAAGACTTAGGGTTGACGGTTTAGGGGTTTAGGGTTTAGGGGTCCTTAAGATTTGTTTCATTTCTTGCCTGTACGGGAGATTTGAGATTTGTGTTGGCTTGAGGGGTAGACCCTATGGCCTTATCAACCTGAACTCTGAGCCGCCTAAACCCTAAACCCTAAACCTAATATATATATGGCAGCCTGAATAATTACCAACATCTTTCCGTAGGCTTGCCGATGATACTTCTAGTAACTTACAGTATAACATACCCCCCCAAAGCCCTATTCTAATCATTAAGGCATACTTATTTATAGTAACTTCTGGTATAACATACCCCAAACCCTAGTCTAACTATTCATAAGAGGCCTCTAAACCTCAGCCGTGCGGAGGTCTACCTCACCCACAGCTTGGAGAAGCCTTTCACCCTGAACTTCAAGCTGGGTCCTCTCGTGGGCGTGGTTCAGGAAACGACGCTGGGCGCAGGGATCCGGCCGTGGGTTGGGATTTGGGGTCCATTTTAAAGGGTTCCTGAAAGGGATCTATAAGGTTTTATAAGGGTTCTGTATGGGTAGTTCTCTAAAATAGGCTCCCTTTCTAGGTCCCCAATAAACTACGGCAGCCTTATAATAAGGACCCTAAGCGGGACCCTAACATGCAGCTAAGTGGGACTGTTGCTTAGGATAAGCGTAGCAATGCAAGCATAAGCACACACACACACACATGTTTGGTAGTTACGACGCGACACACAAGTGTGTGTGTGTGTGTACGTTCTTGAATGTAGGTTTTCGCTTGTATGTCTATCTTAGTCTGTATGTATGTATGTATGTATGTCTGTCTGTATGTATGTATGTATGTATGTATGTATGTATGTATGTATGTATGTAGATTGCGATATTTATTTATGTGTGTGTGTGTGTGCGCTTTAGTGTTCGGGTTAGGGCTCAACGTGTGGAGGGTTTTAGACGTCGGTTTCAGGTATACCTATAGTCTCCATTGTAGTTCATTTTTTGGTTTAAGCTTTTGGTTTAAGCAATTATGTACTAAGGATTTTGTAAGGTATACCCAAAAAGGAACTACAATAGAGACTTTAGGTAGGACTGCATGTAATCGTCGGCTGTCTGCCTGAAACCTCAAGCCCCTAAAGCCGAAGACCCCGGCCAGAATTAAAACAAAAGCCTTCAAGGTACCGTCTGAACTCTAAGCCCTAAACCCTAAACCCTAAACCCCTAAACCCTACACCCCTAAACTCTTAACCCTAAACCCTCAACCCTAAACCCCTGAACCCCTAAACCCTAAACTCCCCGGAAAGAGACGGAAAGAGACCTTTATAGCCTCATGTCATAAGTTGACCCTAAGCTCAGGATCCCCAAGCTACAAGGAATGAGAAGGACTCCGAACCCTGAAGCCCCTGATCCCTAAAACAGCACAGGGGCCTTTAGGGTTTAGGGTTTAGGGTTCAGGGTTGAGAGTTTAGGGGCTTTGGGTTTAGGGGTTTAGGGTTGACGGTTTAGGGGTTTGGGGGTTTAGGGTTTAGGGGTTGAGGGTTTAGGGATGTAGGGGTTTAGGGCTCATGGTTTAGGGCACCCTGCGTCTGCATAATTTAGGGTCCTACTGACCTACTGTTCAGTTCTCGCCTGCACAATGAGCAATATTTCCCCTGTTTCCCAAGAACCATGCTGCAATGTACGCACCCAAAAGTACCTCATAATCATCGACTTCCGATAACACGAACCTACATGAATACTACATTGCTATTGAGTCCCTTGGACCCTCAGGGCTGCATTACCTTTATTTCTACAGCCAAGGAAAGAGAAGGATTCCTGGGTCTTCCACATCTTCAAAATGCTGCAGCACATCGACGTCCAACAGGCCAACCGTTATTTTTTCATACGATGCCGCTGCCTCAGGGTTCAAAGAACCCAATCACTACGCACTTGGGTTTAGGACAGTAATACCGTGGGTAGGTTTTCAGAAGAGTATATCAGTATATGGTCACTAGGTACTTGAACGCCTGGCACAGAGAAGAGCTACGTCAGTGTTCAGCAGTTAGGCTGCAAGGTTTGTGGATCTAGGATTCCAGATCCCAGCACGGTAGCTGATGTTTGGATAACCCTATAATGTACTGGCCCACCCAAGAATCCGAATTATCCCAAGGTTAGGGTTTAGTTTAGCTCCGACCGCTGAGCCGTGGAAAGATTCACTGGATTGAGTGTGGCGCTGTGCTTGCTGACTTTGCGCACAAGCCAGGCCGATGCTACCAATCCAGACGACTACCGCAAGACCCTCGCTGTTATTGAGCATACCTGTTCGGAGATTAGACCATTGCCCTCAGGCTCCTAGGAGGGTCTTGGGCTTTCTGGGGGAGGGTTTCGGCTTTGGGGCTAGGGTCTGGGATCTCACTACAAGAGTCCAGGAGCTTAGGGTGAGATTTAGGAACAGAGGGCAGGCAAAGGAAGGACAGCCCACCCCTGAAGGCTGCACCGTAGCATCGGGGTTTAGGGCTTAGGGCTTAGCATCTCGAGTGTATTGACTCGGTTTGCGTCTTCGCGTTTTTTCGCTTCACCCAGGAGGTTCTGATTCTTCTCAAGCTTGTACGAGATTGAGACTTGTCATTGCGATTTTTCATGGCGGAGACTGTGTGCAAAATAATTTATTGGTGTTTCCGGTGTTGTCACGATCTGGTGGTTGAGCATAGACGTCTGAATATTAATAGTATGCGCATCATTTTGTGTCTGTGCATCGCTAAATGATTATTATAAATGAATCCTGATTCTGGTGGTTTAGGCCTCTAACATTAAACTCTTTGAACCCAGAACCACCCTAAATCCTAAATCCTAAGCCCTACACCCTAAACCCTAAACCCCTAAACCCCTAAACCCCTAAACCCCTAAACCCCTAAACCCCTATAAACCCTAAACCCTAAATCCTAAACCGATTGGTTATGTGTTCGAAACTCCTGGTTTGGCTCGGATCTTGCCATGGAGTCCAGAACCGTCCACAACCAAGTAGGCAAGGAACATCTACCGCAGAGCATATAGGGGAATCTCTATGATGTTTTAGGGTCTTTCCATCACTGGATGCAGCAAGTTATCCTATTAAACCTTAAGCCCCTAAACCCTAAGCCCTAAACCCCTAAACCCTAAACCCCTAAACCCTAATCCCTACCTGAAACCCTAAACCCTGAACCCGAAACTCGAATTGTCCTCGAAGGTATATTCCTTCATGAAGGGGTATTGG